GAACCAGTGATTACAAACCTGCAGCTCTCAAAGATATTGAATGTGGCTCAAGTTACATTTTTAAGTTTAAACAATAATTAACTGTACATTACAATTTCATAAAATAACTCAGTTATCTTTATTATTATGACTTAAATGAATTTATTTGTTATTATTTTATAATGTGTATAATATGTACATAAACCTTTATTGAATTTATACGTACCTATATTTGTTTAAATATATTTAATTTTGTAATTTTTAGTATGGTAGTTCCAGTCCATTGTGTGGCAGTCCACAGAGCCCATCTTCCCCTAGCAATTCTTCAGTTAGTAGCACTAATCAACATCAAAACTATCAAACGCAGAAAGATTTTTATTCAAACCTAACACAAACTAACAATCTTCAACACCATTTTGAAAATTTCTCTATGGTAAGCCGCTGAACTAAGATATGTTATACAGTAGTTTTATAGTAATAACAAACTAGAAAAATTGATTTTATATTTGTATATGATAATAAATCAAATAAATTATCTAAATTATAAAACGCCTGTTTTATAATTTAGATTCATTAATTAGTATAATCGATTAAAATTTATTTTGGTTTATGCTTATATAAATAAAGGATATGATGGTAAGTAAAAAAATAATCGTAGTTCCTTCTATAATGCTTGTAACAAACTTAACATAAGTCACAAAATGATTGTTACCAGTGATCAAATTTTTTTGTTACAACTTATAAACATAAAATAAGTAATTATTCAAGACTTGGCATGTCATTATATTTGGTGTTCAAATATTGTGTTTTGTTCTGTTCTGTTTTATTCTGAATTTTTAATATAATATTATATCTATTAATTCTGGCAAGTCCAGTCATGAATTATATATTCCAATACTTTAAAAGAATCAATTTTTATTATACTTTTTATGAACTACCACAAAAAGGGAAGTACTGAATTTAAAATACATCTCTTTTAATTTTTTTAAACGATCTAGACAAAAATGATATAATAGGTGCATAAGTTAGAAGTGGTAATTTTTGATGAACATGTTAAGTGAAGAAGTAGCACACACTGAATTTACAATTTTAAAAATCTCAAAACTTGCTTCAAAATAAAAAAATCTATTAAAATACCCTAGATAATATACTTATTTTTAAGTTTAATAATAAGTAAATTAACTCTAATATTAAAAAAATCAGAACAAAACAAATTTTTTTTTAATTTACAATTTGTCCATGTTATGTCCATTAGTAAGGCAGAGACAACACACACAGGTGTAACATCCTCTTAATGGTTCAATTCATGTGCAACTTCATATTTTTATCTATCAAAATGTGAATCACTAATTTCTAAAAAAAAATTTAAAAAAATGTTCTAATGTAACAATTATGAAATAAATGCACAATATAAAAATTACACTATAATACCACTAGACATTTGCTTTACTTGAAATATAAAACAGTTAATTGTATTTTGATTCCGCTATCATAAAGCTGGACTGGAATCAGGTGATGCAATCGCTAAAAGATTCAAATCCATCAGCTTGGATAACTGCCCAAATCCAGGTAAAATGGTCAAAAATAGATTGTAAAATGTGTACTTTATATAGTTATATGGTACGCATTATATTTTCTAGTTGCTTATCAATACAAAAAACTAATCTAGGGTTGTTGTAGTAGGTACCTTGCATATATATTGTGTATATAATATAAATACTAATGTGTATGTTAGATAACTGCATGTCTGTTGGTAATTATTTAAATTATTTTCCAGTTTTAGAAATTCTATTTAAAAACAAACTAAACTTAATTGTTTTATTTATTTATGTTTTTGATTAGCTCGATAGTCCTGTGTCTACAGGATTGGAATACATTGGCTCTCCCACAAACACATATTTGCAACAGGTAAATGTGTACATATATTCATACATTTATGTATACTACTTGTTATTGGCCTAGACACTTATATATTATTGTTTTTTAGAACGAAGAATATGTGAATTCAGAAATGACAGCTGATATGGGATATTTTAGCACTTCACCATCACAGTCTCTCCAATTTCCCAACCAAACTCATACAACACCCAATACTCCTTCCAGTATTCCTGACATAATACTTACAGGTAATAATTTGTATTATTAATATTCTTTACCTAGACTAAGATTTTTGGTGGAGTTTATCTGAAAGATTTTTTTAGGTTATCTTTAAGTTAATTAAGTAAAGCTTGCATTTGTAATAATAATATCTGTTGCAAAGTAAAATAGTTAGCAAAACTCCTGGCTAAAATTATTAAAAATTAGAATGATTATTTAATGTTAATTAATCAAATAATAACAAAAAATATGTAAGGAAGTAGCCTAGAACAACTTCACTAGTGTACACTGCAATTTCTTTCCATTGTTGATTTTATCCAGCAAATGGTATTTTCTAAATTAATTTGAAACTCTTAACAAAATATTCACCTGTGTATTTTTAATTAATATATTTTGCATATGTTTTATATAGATTTTTCTAATGGAGATCAATTGGATAACCAAAATGATTTTGTGAAAGAATTAAATTCCACAAACGCATTTGATGCTGACTTCTTCACCAATGAAGAAAGCATTAGACAGGGTCTTGTTGATCAGATTGACCTAGATCATTTGGAACATTTACAAATGTTAGCTGAACCAATCAATGATGCATCAACTAACAACGATCACAATGGTCACTTTCAAATGTAACTAATTATATTGAGATTTTTTTATTCTTTTTTTTTATCTGTGATTAATTGATAATATGTATTCTTAGAAATGTATAGTAATAGTTATTATTTTTATCACACAAAAGTGCCAGGACATTTTGATTATAACTAAGCTGTTGTAATTTTTTTCTTGCTATTTTCTTTTTTTCAGTGCCAAAGACTTAAATTTTTACTTTTTTCTTATTACATTAAATTTGTGTTATTTTTTTTTATGTAGTTACCATCTGATATTCTAATCATCATTGCATTTTATAACTAATGTTAAACCTTTTTCATATTTCTGGATTTTTTTACAAATTTATTATAATGTACTGCACAAATTTAAATATCCGTAGCTGCCGAATCACAATTTTAGAACCCATGGTGCATATATTATAAGATTAATATGACAAATATGTATTTTTTATACAGTATAAATTTAATACTTAATTATAATATAATGTTAATAAATTCCCTCTCCCACCCTTGATCGTTTTTGTAACATAATATTTTTTTTTATTTAATGAAATATTAAATTTTACAATTAAAAGACAAATGTTCAATTAAATTAAAAGATCTCGTGTTAGATGTATTTTTATTAATATTTTATGTGTACATACATACATGCATACATACATATGTACATTTATATTATATTTTACATTCATGCACATATATGTATAAATATATATATTGTATGCATGTATAATTTAATATTTAAACATTTGTGTGTGTGTGTGTAATAATTTGTGTTTAAGCCTTTCCATGGCAAATTTGGTATGCATGTTTATAATTGTGTTCGTTTAAATGTGCCTTTTCATTTTTATTTTTAAAATTTTACTCAAAATGAATGTTGAAATTAATGGAAAACAATTATCATTATACATATATCTTATATACAAGAAAAATATTAAATCTCAATTTTTAATTAAAAATATTGGATGTTATAGAATAAATTTAGGAAAATTTGTTCTTTATTTAAATTCATATTTTCTTTCAGTTTGAAAGCTATGTATATTTTTCCCTGTGAATTAAGTAATAATATTTTTCTTTGATAAAGACTTAGTAATGTTATTCATACATTTTTAACTTTGCTTTTATTTCAATAGATTTATTTTAGGATAAAAAAAAAAATACTTAGTTATCATTTGTAAATATTTGTACAACGTGATTGTACATATTTATGTTAATTGGTTAGGCAAAGTATTTGGAACTCTGTCATGTTTTTGTATTATCTTTTGTAATACAATATTTTCTATGTTAAAAAACCATAAACAATTACAATAGGTAGTACAGGCATTTATTTAAATTCAAATATTAAATATATCATTCAAATTTTAAAATTATTGTTTGTTAATTATCCAGAATGATTGGTATTTTGAACAAGATACAATATTGTTACAAAATTACTGGAACATTAAATTACAAATAGTATACAACTAAAAATGCAAACATAAAAGAGTTCTAAATCCTTTATTTAGTTATTTTATAAGCTACGTTGAAAAATTCTAATGACTAAGAATTCCTACTTACTTGTTTTACAATTTTTTACAATTATTCAAAAATAATGTTTAGGTATAATATAAATTTGGAATTTTTATTGTTCATTATAAAGTAAACAAAACCAATTTTTAGCTTTTTGATTTTATTATTTTATATAGTGTTGATGTGCAAAACTATGTTTGTTGAACATTTCATGGATTGAGTTGTTTTTATTTCTGTACTTACTAAATAATAAATACTAGTCAATAAAAATCAATAAAATAAAAATCCTGTTTTTTTTTTTTTTTATTATTGTGAATTATTTATTACTTGAAGTGTTTTATTTGTTATAATTGTCTTAAAAAAAATATATTTATAATGTTAAAAACTTTTTAAAAAAAATATTGTAAAATAATTTAATTGAATTAGTTCAGTGTTTCTCAAATGGTAGTAAAATTTTGGCCCTAGAAGAATCAATAAAACATTAATTTGTGAAGTAAATGTTAATTTGAAGTATTCTTGTGAAAGAACGTCTTGCCACTCGGTTGGGTTTTTTTCTGAAAATAATAAGACTGTCGACTTTATGGGGTAATTTTAAGAATATTTTATTCCTTTAGATTTTTCTTAATGTTTGACTCCTTTAGCGCACACGATGTACTTATATATTGATACAAAAAAAAAAAAATGTCTTCAAATTAAAATTGAATCACAGGGTTTTCGTTCGGAAACACGCCAAACGCCGTGGTGCCAAAGATCAATTGGGAAACGCTTATAGAAATCATTGACAACACTAGTCAAGTTTACCTTGTATTTTTTTTTTTTTTGTAACGTAGGCAAATGATTGATAAATAACGAAAACCTTATTTGTACATTGTCATTTTTTTACTATTAAATTAATTTTTAATTCTTTAAACTTACACAGTCAATGATACACGATTGTTGGTATTTTTATTACTATTACTATAAATATTATTATTGTCGTCGTCGTCGTCGTCGTCTATCCGTCTGCATTATTTTCCGTAACCGTGTCCACCGTGTTCGGCATAGTTGGAGAAGTCGACTTGTGCGGTCGGCTGGCTGGCGGGCGGACATACCGCAGACGGAGCCGGCGTCGGTTTGACAGCGGGCGCGGGCTGTTCGTTGTATCCGACGTAGGTGACCGACCCGTATGACGGCGCCGGTTTGACGGCGGGCGCGGGCTGTTCGCTGTATCCGACGTAAGTGACCGACCCGTACGACGGGGCCGGTTTGACGGCGGGCGCGGGCTGTTCGCTGAATGTGATCGACCCGTACGACTGTGCCGGTTTGACGGCGGGCGCGGGCTGTTCGCTGAATGTGATCGACCCGTACGACTGTGCCGGTTTGACGGCGGGCGCGGACTGTTCGCCGTATCCACTGTAACTGGCCGGCGGACCGTACGACGGGTAGCTGGACGTTTGCGGGCCGTAAGCCGGGTAGCTGGTCGTTTGCGGGCCATAAGCCGGCGCCGGTTTGACGTAGGTCGCTGGCTGTTCGCTGTATCCGCTGTAACTGGCCGGTGGACCGTACGACGGGTAGCTCGGCGTTTGCGGGCCGTAAGCCGGGTAGCTGACCTGCGGTTGGGGCTGGGGTGGAGACGGCCGTGGATGGTGTTGATAATAGATGTACTGCGTCGTTTGGCCGGGCGGTGCTGCGGCGGGTGCGGCGAATCCTTGTTTGAGCATCATTTTTTTCGCTATCAAGTGGCTGGCCAACGGCTCCAGGAAAGCTTCCGTAGCAACCGGCACTTCGCTTACTGCGATAATGGCTACTGCGGCCTATGGGACGCACGATTAATTAAAAATGTTATTCTATAAAATCGAAATAATACTTTTATACACCGCATGCAACCGAGGACATCGTTTCGAGTACAGAGCAGTACCCACTGTCAAACGTCTAGAATGACACGCTGTACCTACTAGAATATTATACCTTATTGTTTACCATTATTATTCATATAATAAATGGCCATTCAGTCGATTCGTATATTATATTTCATAGTACACACCTATTTATTTAATACCTAGTCAATATTCATTGGTCATTCATTATATAGGTAGGTTACTCGTTCAGTCGTCCATTTACAGAACTAGTTAAATCATCCTCTATTGTAAAGGATGGGTTAAGTGATATATCTATACGTATTACGTACAAACAGATTTATAGTATTTTATGATTATTGACAGAAGGTTTACGAGGGTCGATGCTGGGAATTTATCATTTCTATCAAATTTAGGCATATACATAGGGACACCAGTAGTACCCATATAGACACGGTTTTCAGCAATTATATACGGGTAACATTATATTTTGGTTTTACACTTAGTCATTGCAGTTGCCGTATAAATTATCTATTTTGAATATTTTATCTTTTGATTTTTGGGAATTTCATTTAGAACTATTTATTTGTTGGTATACATACATTGAAAAGTTTAATACTTGAAATAAATGTTTAAAGATATATTATTATTAGGATGCGATTTGTAAATTCATAGGCGGATATTTTTTGAAATATTGGGGGGAATAGCATGTGTAACGCGGCCTAAAACTAGATAACTGTTTACATAGTCCACGGACTTAGGTTAAATATTTAGGTAAATACGATCCATCACTTGTTGATTATCTTATAGATACATTTCCTCAGCTATAGGGACCTACTACTCCATCATCAGCACTCGCGCGCAAATCATATGTCATCTGTGGAGTATCAAACTATCAAACACCTGCAAGATTCTAATATATAGATACTTGGGACGAGAATCCTTATATGGACTTATGGTAATGAATCTAATAATATGGATATTATATGGCTGTATCTATGGGCGTGGGCATCACTATATGGGGTATCGAGATTCGAGGGTACTTTTGCTACCCCTCATAAATACTATATTACAAAAAAAATAAAAAACCAAACAAAAGATATTTCGGTAGAGAATTATGTTTTTGCTACTATAGAATTTTGACTCTAGACTATCTGTACATGGGTACATAGGTATCTATTTTAGTATAACTTATATAGGCAGCTCTGGTAATACACTAGAACGACAGTCTATATGGAATAAAATAATAAATGTGTTGTTATACTCACGACGCAAAAGACGAACACTCCTGTGGCCTTGCCCATCTTGTACGAGTTCGCGCGATTGAGTCTGTCTGCGAATGAAAATCACGGGCACCGGATCGTCGTGCTTATATAGTGCGCGGGCTGCACGTGCCAAGTAGGCATATACCTACCGGAATTATGGCCAAGTATAAAATACCCACCCAGGTGGCATGGTATCCACCGGCGCGAGTATCTCTATACATGCGTGTAATAACATATACCTATATAATACCGATATGCATCGTTCGCACTATGCCTATGCCTACACATTTAGTTGGTGATGTAACAGGCGCATGCACATGATGGCACGGGTATAATATAATATAATATAGGAGGCGCACTAACCTTGACCCTGGGGCCGCGAAGACGGTTTTTTCGGGCAGTTCAACAAACCCGGCATAAAACCAGATTCCTATCGACTACTCTTCGTCGTTACGAAATCGCCGTCCTATTATAATATATATTATATATATATTATATTGTATATACACGTGCACATCGTAATATATTACGATATATTATACACTGCAACATCATTATATATTACCCATCGTGGCGACGGATGCGCCCGCCGCCCGTGTGTTTTCCCATTTCCTGCGATTATAGGCACGAATGCGTTTTTCGTGCATTTCACACGAAAGTTGGACAACAGGTTTCTGTAAATCGACCCGTCCGACTACGCACCACAGGTATAGGTCGTATTATATTATTATTGTTATTTGCTGGGCACCTTGATAAACGACTAGACATTATAATATAATCTATAATATTTATATTATATAAGACTCGCAATATAATACTATAACGTGGTAGGTAGGTTTACCTATCTAGCATTAAAGCCAACCGCGCCGGTGGTGTGATGCTCATCCCAAGGCCCGACTAACCCGCACCGACCCGATCACGATTTCTAACCACTTGCACATATTATTATAATGTACTTCAATACATAATTATCGATTCTGCTGGTAAAATAGTTTTGGTATGCAGCCTATGCCTATATATATTATTGCATAGGTACCTACCTAACTATACCGATAGATTTATATGCATCGACATTCGACGGCCGGCCGTAGGCGAGATTTCGATGATGTTGCTGATATAGGTAGAAAGAGAGAACTTAAATTGTTCAGTTAGAGCTGAATAATCATAATTTAACTTAAATACTTTATGCGTGTATAACGATATTTTTGCATGCAGGTGTATTTTAATTAAATATTATATTAAATTTACACTATATTAGGTGTACAATATACATATAGGGACAAGGTACCTGCAACCCCAGTAACCTAGGTACCAAATTTTATATTTATAATAGATAATTGTACATAAATCATTGAAGATTCCTAAAATCTATGGTAGGTATAAGAAGGGTTCGGAGACTACGCACAAGGAGTAGGTCTAGGACTTTCAGTATTTGTTTTATTAATATTATTATAAACTACTTTTGTACCAAAATTTAGCTTTTGGAGGATTTGTTCCAAACTGTTTGCTTAATTTGACTGGACTATAGATATAGCGCATGTATGAGTATAGTATATTTGAGAGCATCGGGAGGGGAAATGCTAGAGTGCTGTAGCAACTTCCTTTAGCCCGTGTTGACCTTTATTTTTATTCAGTAAGGAATTATCTGTTATTTATAATTATCTTTGTGTCTGTAAAATCCCTCCTTTACCTGTTTATAATTATAATTATATTATGCATGACTTATTGGAAGGGGTCTGTAAATATGACTTATCGTTTTTATTACTATACTATATACAAGATTTAAAACTTTTTTCCTTACAAGTTTTAAATGAAAAATTGCTATGTTTTGATTATGGCCCTGGTAAATGCAGTAAACCTTGCATTTTGCATACTGAACATCTTAAAAAAAATACTATAAGACTTTCTGCATCAGAAATGATGTCACTTACACGATATTTGGGTTTAATCGCATTGGAAATTTTGTTCCTACTTTCCAAGAAATGAAACAGTATGAGGAAAATTCTTGACTTACTGACATCTCTTCTGTTACAAAAAGAATGTTGTATTTTACTACAAACTCTTGTTGCTGAGCATCATGATTTATACATTAAATTTGGTCCATTCATTTTCCTATGGTCTATGCGTTTTGAAGCAAAACATAGGATTTCTAAAATTTCAGCAAATACTTCTAGCAATCGCCGTAATATATGTAAAACCCTTGCTATAAAACACCAATTACAGTTAAATAACATGTTTATTAAAGGAACTTTAAGTGATGAAATAAAATTAGGTCCTTGTTCTGAAATTACTGATGACATTGATACACAGGCTATTAGAAATGTTATACAAAAAAATTCACTTGATTCCATAATAAATTGTCCATGGATATCAGTTAAAGGTACACGATACACTCCTAAAATGATTCTTACATTAGATATATGTGAATTTGATGGTCCAAATTTTAGTATGATAAATAAATATATTTTTATAACAACGAATTAATTATATTTCAATGTTTCAAACTAAATGCTACAATATTTGATGAACATTATCATTCATTAGAAGTAGAAAAAGAAATCCATGATAGTGTTTTCATTTATTATAATGATTTGGCGTCCTATACTCCAAATCATATTTGTACAATGCCTAATGGCAAAAGATATATCACTGTTAGAGGTTAAATAATAATATCGTAATCTTTAGGCACTTTTTACTAATTTAATGTTATTACTTATACGTATAACATCATACATTTTTATAAGCTCCTCATTCCATGTATGTATAATTTGAAAGTAACATAAAGCACTGATTATACCTATGTACAGCATTGTATGTATATCGTAATTTGATTAAAGTTATTAGGTACCTATACTTTATATAAAGTTGTAATAAGTATTTTATGTATATTTTATTTTAAATAAACTCTTGCATTTTATTTTTTGTTTTTATTTATAATTATATATTATTTTACCCATAAGATAAAAACACCTGTCGGTGGATACACCTAAGGCTTATTAAATTTTGGTACTTTAAATTTTACTTACAAGTTACAACATAACTATTCGAAATAGTAATTCCAGCTAAATAGTTATGTAGTTGTAACAAAATTATGGTTATTTAAGTTACAATTCATTATTGTAGTACCTAATACTATATAATACAATAAATTCTGTAATTCAATAAAATGTTCCGTAAAACATCTCTTAATAATATTGCAATCGTTAATTAATTAATGACACCGTTTGTCTAATAATAACTCAGGGTTTACAGAATAAAATTCTATAACTACTATTCAAACGGTTGAATGTTACCAGTCTAATATTATTGTGGATACAAAATAATTTAGTAACTGCTACAAAGCATATAGTGTCTATAACAACAATTTTTTAGGTGAGAATAAGCAAACCTAGTATTGCTATCGCAACAGAAACTATGTTGTCAATACAATATACTGTTTACAAAAATCAGTATGTAACTTATCTACCAAACGAATTGTCGTCACGAGCGCAACCAAAAATCTTGGTTGTGAGTGTCGTATTTTGGTTGAATCAACCAAATTTTTTTTCCGTGATATTATTATTAATATTATTTGTAGGTACCAGGTACTAATAATAATCATAAGCTACTAGACTTCTAAAACTTGGGGTACTATAATTTTAAAAGCTTCACAGAGCCGTGGGGGATTGACCCCCCCCCCCACAGTCTGCCATACATGACATACGCGCCAAAGAAACAAAAATAACATATCATTTGCTCCAAAATTAATAATATGCATACAAATAAATTTAAATTTAATAAATCGGTTGGTTTTTTAATCCCACTTTTTTCATATATTCTATACGATCTATTTCATCACACTGGTATTTATTCCATTGTCCATTGTACAACTATTTCTTAATGAGATCTCCTTAATTTTTTGCAAGGACGAGAGTTTATTAATAAATAATAAAATATGTTTAATAACACATCAATGAGACAATGACTATATGAACGGAACAATGAGCCACATAAAATTGATCTTATAGTAACGATATAGCTCTAATTTTCTAAAATTTATATCTATTAACCGTGGCACACAGGTACCTAGGATTTTGGCGCTTTCGTACGATACGACTTTTTTTCTTATCTCATTATGGCGCTTATGTCTTCCACCGCCATAGTCCCTAATATTAAAATTATATAATCTTATAAGTTATAAATCTACAAAATTTAAAACCGATAGGTACTTAAAAACTTTTTGTACATATTTTAACACACTTCATATTAAAGATAAAAACAAAATATGTGGGCACCTCATACCTATAGGCTATAATAGTATTTTTACTACTATAGTATATACTAATACTTGGAATATGACTCGGTTTTATGGAATCCTCATCAAACCGGATTAATTAATAAAATTGAATACATTTAAAATCGATTTTTGAGAGTACCGTCGTTTTGCTTGAACAACTAGTAAGAGAGTATAATACTATAATAAATAGCTATAGCATCCAGTATGGCTAAGGAAAAAAGGCGATTTCCATTTGAAAAAAATAAATCCGAATCTCCACTGAATGCAGTGAAGGCAATTTTTTAAACGATAGATACCTAAAATTTAAGTATAACAAATACAAATTGGGTCTTTAAAAAATCACTTCTCATCAAACATGTCAGAAATCAGAATTTGAATAAATTAATTGTAATTAGGTAAAGGCATTTCATTCCAACTTTTTTTTATTAATGATTGTTAGGCTTATAGCCAAAAGAAGTTTAAAAATCAATATAGGTGACAGAACTTACTTTGTTAATGTTTTTAATAATTAATTGGTTACGAAACTGTGCTGATTAGTGATGACTATATTAATAAATTATGCATTAAGCCTGGAGTTCATGGAAATTTCCCCATGATTTTTTTACTACGTTTCTTAGTTGAAACAAAAACAAGTGAAGAAACACTAGGTTGGAATTGTGCAACTCAAAAAAAAAAAAATAGTTTATTACACAATATATACATTTTTTCAACTATATATCTCGTGACGGCACCGCTGGCCTGGCCGCTGCAACAGTGGACCATTTGGACTTTGGTGATGACATGTGATAACCTAACCTCACATATCTATAGAGTATTTAATTTAATTCAGGCTACCGTCCTACCTACTGACTACTAGTAA